TGGAGTGTTGTGTTTGCTGAAGCCAGAGGCAGACCCAGAGGCAGTGCCAGAGCCAGAGCCAGAGCCAGAGCTGCGCCCGAGTAGGGGCACTCAAGGCATTAAGGGTATTAATGAGCAATTCAAGAATGAATTCAAGATTTGTAGAGATATTTAATGTTCATAGGAGAACAAACCATTGTAGAACTCACATTTGACAGAGTCTCTCTAAGATCCCTCTCCGATCGGAATGTCTCTTCATCTGTCGCCTACTAGACGACACTTTTTTTGTATTGAGGGGGGGGGAGGGGGAGGTGGATCTGAACAGAGGACATGAAATGAACCATTTATAACTTTATTATCGCCTGGCCATTGTGGTATAAGGTCCTTTTTGTGTGCGTGTGTGCCCGTCTGTTAAATGCATTCAAATTCTAATTTGCGTGGCAACTTTTTGCAGGATGCTGAAGGACCCGGGCCACTTTTTTCTTTATTCTTGCTTGTGCTAAATGATTACACTTAACTAGATTTGCATATATTTAAACATTTCCTTGTACGCACGTGTGCGGCACGGGCACGGCACTCCGCTCTGTGTGTGTCCGTGGCTCTGTCTGTGTCTGTGTCCCGACTGTGTCCCCTGTGCACAAAAGGATTATTAAGGAGCTTCATATGTAAATGAAAACCAAATGCACACGACGTTCAGCACGAGACAAGGACTCTGCCAGAGGGAAGGAGAAGCAGCGAGAGACACAGAAGGATAACCTGGAAGCCACAGTTTGGCAAACACAGGCGGGACCAGGAGCAGGAGCCGGAGCAGGAGCACCAGCCCGAGACCGTGCCCCCCCGTGCAGCAGCAGCAGAAACAGAGCCATGCCAGAGTCAGAGTCGGACTCAGCGACGGCGACGGCGCCGGAGACAGAGACTCAGACAATGTTTGGCCTGGACTGGGGATACCCGGAGAAGAGGCGCTGCTACCTAGAGAGAAAGTAGGTGAAAGCCAGAGGCGGGCACGGAAAAGCCAAATGGAGCCCGCACCCGTTCGCTCGCTCGCTCGCTCGCTCGCTCGTTCGTTGGCCCGTAATTTATGCTTAAGATAAAGTCCTTGAATAAATACATGGAAAATCCTTTGAAATTGAAATTAAATACGAATATCATCTTTTTTTTTATACATATCAGAGGCAGAGGCAGAGGCAGAGAAAGAGACCGTCAGAGGCGGAGAAGGTGAAGAGAATTGCAGACAAAAGGCGAACGGGAAATGAAATTAACATTTGAGTGCGCTTTCCGAAAATTAAACGAGACGACTCCGAGAGTATCCGAAAGGATCGTTGGGGGTCCCCCCCACCATGCCCCCATGCCACACACAGGAGTCCAGGAGTACCGGAGTATTTATTTATTGAAGCTTCTGGTTCGTCTCTGTTCTTGGGGGTTTTTGTTGGATATGTGTGGAGGCATCTTATTTAGCATTTTTGGAATTCTATCTGTATCTCTTCCCCTCTCCAGTGTGTGTGTGTGTGTGCCTCTCTGTCTGATGGAAAATAATCCTCATAGATTGTGTGGCAAAACATTTTTCTTAGCCATTTGCCATATGAAATTAATTTTACAGTCAGCAGCCACAGAGACAGAGACAGAGACAGAGCATCCTCCTGCCACATGGCTGCTTTTGTGTGTGGTGCAAATAACCAGAGAAACAATTTGATGGGAAATTTATCTATGGGGCCATGCATTGTGGCTACCTCTTCCGTAATCATTTCAGATGCTTATTCAAAGAAAAATATCTCTTCTAGCCTCCCAAATGCCGTCACTTTAAGGATAACTATTGTATCTGCAGCTTTTGGGTACTTTTCACAGATCCCTCTCCCAACTGGCACATTTTCAACAATCTGGATATTTAAAATGTATTGCAAGGAAAAGCACATCCATCCCCGGCATCGTTTTAACAGATCCAAATTGTGGGGCTGCAACATTTTTGCAAATTATGTTCCGTTTCGGTACTTTTTGGCCCTTTGCGATTCTCGATTCCCGATTCTCTATCGTTGCGTGTAGCATTACCAGAATTACATATTAACAATCCTTTTGTGTTTGGTTTGGTATTGGAAATCTGCTTTTCGTTTTCATTAAAATTAATAATAATTTTACCTGGGATATTGCATTTCCACAGCCGAAAAATTCCCATTGTAGAGGCGCTCTCTCTCTCTCTCTCTCTCTCTCTCTCTTTCTCTTTCATTCGCACTCTCTGGCCAATTGGCTCATATAAATTGCATTGGATTTTTGCTTTTATTATTGGAGGAAAACAACAAGCCCAGTACGAATAATTCCATGCTGCCTGACTGACCGCCTGCTGCCTGCCTGCTGGCTGCTGGCTGCTGTGGGACTGCTGGACTTTTGTTATTGCATTTTGAATTTGCGGTAAAAGGGGGAGGCGCCTGCCGCCCCTGCACCGCCTCTGGCTTTGGTTTAGGAAAGCAAAGCACAAAAATTAATTATGAAACATTGTTGTTGGAGAATTGTGTAAATATCTGTATGTATGTATCAATGGAAATGCAATCTAAACTGCAAGTGGTGGAGGAGCAGTGGAGCACTGGAGCGGTGGAGCGGTAGAGCGGTGGAATGGCATTTGAAAGTGATTTTTCAATCAATGCAAATAATTTACAAACATTTCATATGTTGAAATGTTGAAATATTTCAATAAGAATTATCATACATACTCGTATCTCTGGGCCGCAAAAGCCCCATCCCCCATCCCCCACTCACCCACTCACCCCTGATATAATGTTTTTGAAAATTTCACTTTTCCTCTGGCATTCTCTGGCATTTACAGCAACTAAATTGGAATGGGAATATGCATATCATAGATACATCATGGGATTTTTAGCACGATTTTGTTACCTATTTCTAACGCTCTCAGAACCCATCGAAATGGTCCTTAAAAATGTGCAATATGAGTGGCCAGCGGTGAGCGGCGAGAGGCGAGAGGCGAGCGACGAGTGGGGAGCGGAGCAGTATAGAGGGGGGCTAGTGGGACTAGGACTGGGACTGGGGGGTGCCATAGGCTATATAAATTTCAATCTATCATTTATTTAAGTCCTAGGCCAGCATCAAGGGGGCCAGGGGGGGCCAGTGGGGGCCAGTGGGGGACTGTCTCTCATTGCCATAAATCCCCATCAGAGATACGCGTATATTTATTTACTGCAGCTCACACAGATACAAAAGCACACACACACATACACACAGGACATCGCAGGGCGACAAAAATTGTAGCCGAAAAATAAAATATATCTCCTGCTACTGGTCCTGCTCCTGCTCCAGCTCCAGCTCCTGTTCGTGCCTCGTGCTGCCGCCTGACGCCTCCTTTTTTTCATATTTTATTTGTTCTTTATTTGTGCTTTTCCCGCCGTTTTTTTCTAGTTTTATTTTCTTTCTCGTTTGTTCTGTTGTTCATTTTTTCTGTGTAAATATTTTGGAAAATGCGTTTTCTTTTGTATCTTTTATACACACCGCTGCCCCGCTGCCCCGCTGCCACATCTATCTATAGCTTGCAATAAAAAAGGATTTCTTCGTTTTTTGGTCGATTCCGCCCCCGTCCCCGCCCCACAGCCTCCGTTTGCTTGCCAATTTTTATGGTTAAAATATTTGCGTTGCTCTCCTGTTAAAATATTTATGACAGGCGCGAGGGAGAGTAAAATATTTCAATATAATAGTGGTAGAGGAAAATGGAAATTTCTTGAATGTTTTTGTTGTAATTAAACAAAAAATTCAATTGAAAGGAGGCGGTGGGTGGGGGAAGCGTTGGAAAAGCAGAGGAGAAACCCAGAGGAAAAGACGAAATTGTAAGTAGTCCAAATGAATTTTATTGCGGTTCATTAGCCTTCGAATGGAATCGAATGTAATCGAATCGATTCGAATCAATCAATTGCGGCATTCAATTGCCGGCCAGGAAAGGAGATCGAAATTAGATCATAGGCAGGCGAAATAGGGGTAGAAAACATATGCATAAGGAAAGCGAATGGCGAGGGATAGGGAAAGATCATATAGGGGTGCATCAAGAAAGGAGGGAATGGGCACACAAATATTATTAGCTAGCAAAAGATCATATAGGGGTGACACATGCAACCCTTCTTACCCCTCCCGAATCTATTGTGCATTTCTGTGAGGGGCTCTATCGGGGCGGGTTCCTTTCTTCAACTTTTCGCCACAATATCCCCCAACAAAACTTTTAATTACTGTTGCTCTGGCGCTGGGTCTCTGGCTCTCCGGCTATTCCAATTAAGCTATCATATTCTTGTCTCGGAAAACTTGCCCCGAATCAAAACTTGAGGCACAGCAGAGCTCAGCACAGACACTCTGCCCCCACAACTCAGAACTGGGTTAACAAATATGTTCAATTCGGTGCGGTTCCTGCAACAAAAACTTTATCTTAACAATTTCCATATTCCGTAAGTTGAAATTTCGGGTGCACGGAAGAGTGTGCAACTTTTCTGTGGCACCTGCAGCAATTTTTCCCGCTTTTAGTGGCAGGAATTTTTCTCATTTTCCTTTGTGGCAAAACTGCACGAAAATGCAAAACGGCGCAAAAAGATAGACGAAGGAAGGAAGGAAATTCTGATTGAATGGCATTCCATTGAAGTTGATGGATGCATTAAGAGAGAGAGAGAGAGAGAGAGAGAGGTTGCATCTCCTCCGCTGCCTCCCCACCTTCTAGCTGCCGATAGTATCTTCAAGGGAGAGGGAGAGAGCGAGAGAACCAAGCTTTGTGGTAACCAAAAACACACACTACACACACACACACACACACACAAGACAAAGATGGGGAGAGACCATCAAGAAAGCGATGGTCGGAGCGGGGGGGAGGGGCGCCATGCAACCTGCATGTGCAGGGAAGGGCACATATCTGTATAATGGATTGCACTTAACATGCCACACACAGCAACCGCAAGTGCCGCCACAGGATCCCTGCACACACACATGCAGACACACTAACCTCCTTCTCCTCACCAAAGTACAGGTAATACATCATTTACAGAACTTACCTGGATAATGGAGCTGCTTTCGGGAGATGGAGTTGTAGCTGAATCTGGAGCTATATCGGTAACGCTCGGCGGCGACTATCGTCTGATCTAAAAATCGCACGTGAAGTCCCTTTGTTAGGGCTTACGTTTATCCACACTCCTACACACGATGTTCGTCCAATTGTACGAGTATTTGCATAGGACTGAAATTTAAATTGCGGCACACATTACGTGTCCTTACACACACACAACCGCACAACCGCACAACCGCACACACAAACACTGAGGCACTGAGACACTGAGACTCTCTCCGCAACGTAAGCTGTAAAGCGTAACCGTAATACGGCAGGCGTCTCGCAGGGTCCACTCAAAAAAAATTGTTGTTTTCCGGTTGCAAAAGCCGGCTCGTCTCCAACGGAGAGAGAAAGAGCAGCGCCTGGAATTCTACGTGTGTTTTGATTTAATACGTAAATTATTTTCCGGCATTTGCTGGGTCTTAACTGTTATTCGGAGCTGTTTTAGGGACCGCGCTGTGGCTGTGCGACCGGATTTGCATATGAATGCCCTTTGCTGTGAAACCGCGTTTTATGATTATAATGTTTCATTTACATATTTCGGATGGTTCCGCTGTTTCACTGTACTGAACTGTTTTTTATTTTTTGTTTTTTTGTGCACACATTTAATGCTGAACTGCTGTACTGTTTCACTGTTGTAATCTGATGTTTCAATGTACTGTACTGTATTTCACGTGACTGTTTTCAAAGCACTTTCGATGCTAAAACTCGCTTTATATTCGCATATTTTTCCGTAATGTTTGGCTCTTGCTCTGAGAAGCAAATCGCTGAGTTTTTTCATCCGCTGCGCACAACCACTCGCTGGGAAATTTCGAAAATAACTGGATTCGCTTTCGTCGCCACCTGGCGAGGTCGCCTCGGTCACAAACAGAGCCAGCGAAAGAGAGGGAAACATTTGTTTACCACGGTTAACAGAGCGAGGCAGAGAGAGGGAGAGAGAATGATCGCTGTTGCTCATGCTCAAAGAGCCGCGTGCGCTTCTGTTAACATAATTCAATTTGGCTGTACTTAAGCAATTACAGAGGCCATCAAAATAGCCAGAGAGCGAGTGAGAGCGGACAGACGGCGAGAGGAAGGGAGAGAGAATGGTTAGCAGTGGCAACGGCAGCCACAGGGCTTTCCCCAGCAGCACAGCAGGTGCAGGGCCCTGTTAGTGGTCGTCAATTGAAATGCCAGACCGAATGGGGGGAGTGGAGCCCATTTAAAAGGTTCAAATGCCATGCACGTAGGCTAATTATGACAATGTTAACAGAATTTTTGTGCCGCAAATAATGCAAATTAACATGGGACACAGGAAGCCCAGCGCTTCTTTATTAAAGGGGGAGTGCCCGCGCTTGAGCTTTTATTAATGATAGTTTTTCGGTGCTCATTTAACATTCAAGATATGAAAGGTCATTCAGGAAATGAGGCATGGGCTGCGAGGAATATTTGAATACATAATGGAGACATCAAGCGTTACTCAACCTTAACCATCCATAACACTCAAGTTCGGTTAACAGCCCCATTTGGAGGGCCGAATCACCCAATGAGTATGTTAGCCCGGAAACATGGACATGCACAGACATGCACGGCCCTGCCACACACATGAGCCCCATAAACTGCACGCCGTGGCTTTTAGCAGTCTGTTAACGTGGCATCCAACGGCTCATTAACATTTCAAATTCATGGCGCTGAGCGCCAAACGGGCCATTAACAGCAGCAGCAGCTGCTTTTACATGCCATAACATTTAGATTGATGGGCGCGCTCTCTCGCGCTCTTTTTATCTCACTCTCTCTCGGGATGGAAATTTAACAGAGCACGCTGAATGTTGTGATAGGTTAACATGTAAACAAAGCATCTGTTAAACTGGGAGACAGTACTGTTAAATGTTTGCTTATGGGTTGCTTGCGCTCGAAGTAACAACTGCAACCCTTTTTATCCTTTATAGAAAACTATTTTACAACTGTCAACCTTTCCAGGTAACTCTAGCCAACCAGCAACAGCTTAAGAGAAGCCCCAGAAATGCACCCCACCTTGTGCATTCCATCGAAAACCGCAGACCTTTTGATTCTGTTAATAAAAACAAGTTTTTTCCTAAGCCGGCTAGTTAACAGGGCGCGAGAGAGAGTCGCTCTCTCAAACCGGTTTCTCTCTGGCGCTCTGGCGCTTTGCCGCTCTTCTGCTAACATAGCTGTCTCGCTCTGCCAGTTTTACAGCATCCGATTCGCTTAACATTCGCTCAACGAAGAACTCTTAACAGCCAGCCGTCGGGCATTTGGCCCCAATTCTGTTGACAGACGTAATTTCAATGTCATTATTACTGAGAAGAAGAGAGAGAGAGATTGAAAAGAGCGCACTCTGAGCAGAAAGAGAGAGCGAGAGAGCAGAGCATGGAATGTAAAATGCATTTGGCATCCAAAAGAATTTATTACAGAGTTCAAAACGTTTTACATGCCGCTGCCATTCCACAGCTCGCTTCTCTCTCTCTCGCTGTGGACTCTCTTTCAGCACGTGGTGGGTGGTAGGAGCGAAGCATGGCTTATGTTGTTGCCGAAACGGTACATTAATAAATGAGTGTTATTCGCTTTGTCCTAGTTGACTTCATGACATTCATTCATTCATTCATTCATGGGATCGTTGGTGGCTGCTGCTCTCCTCTCCTCTCCTCTCCTCTCGCTCACTCATTCTCAATGAGAGTCTTCTAAATGGCTTTTTCTCTTTTCTGGCCATCTTTCGTGTCCCGTTTCCCGTTAATTGGGTTTTATATTAACTAAATTGTGTATATTTAAAATTATTTATTATTTATTTGCCCGCTTTATTTTGTATTCATTTCGCCTTAATTTATTTATGCGACTTTTTCTGCTCCTCTTTGTTTTTTTGTGATGTTTCTTGGGTGAGCATTTAAATTATTAATTACATATTTTCAGTTATTTATTTGTGTTTATTTCGGTTTTGTTTTCTTTTTTGGTATATACAACACATGCCCTGTAATAACAGGGAAGAGTGAGTATATTGCATTCATTGTTCTTAATTGTTCGCTATTTCTTCCTCCCCAAACTTCCAACCCAATAGATCCCATCAGTTCTTAAGATGAACGTGCAGGCAGAGCGAAATCGGTGCATAGAACCGATCCATAGTAGGGTAGGAATGATGGTAGGAAAAAAAGGGACTTCAAGTAGTATCCGTTAACAATATTTATTAGATCTCTTTAAAAGCATTATAAGACCCTACGCATTAGGCTTTTTCTAAAATTAATTAAAACAAAAACAAAACCACCATTAACAAAATATTCCAACAATCTGCTTCAAGTCAAATATAATCCAGTAGATCTTTTGAGGTATAATCAGGGTACAACGAATAGTGATATAATTTTCCAATAATACTTTGTCCTTGTTTGAGATATGTGTGTACCATATATCATACCACTTTAAAGGTCATGGTACCCCCACATAGATCAAAATATTTCTTATATAGTATAGCTACCATCTGTGGCGATCTGTAAGGGTATATCCGATTCTGTTTCCCAAAACTATCAACTTTCTGTTGTATTTCTCCCCGTATTGATTTTGCACTCATTAGTTTTCTCTCTCTCTCTCTTTCTGTTTGTTTTACATTTTATGTGCATTTTTAATTAGCTGACAGAATCGTTGTTTCTTTGGCCGCTGCTCTGGTTCTGGGTCTGGTGCCGGTTTTGATTGTTTTTGTTGCCGTTGTGGCTATGGCTGTGGCTGTGGCTGTTGTTTTCCCGCTGACCTTTGACACACTCGTAGAAAAACGTTGACAGTTTATGGCGGGCTTTAATTGGTTCCATCATCCGCTGGTCGAAGTTAATGCAAATGGCTTGTCAATCAATCAGTCGATTGCCGCAGGGCTCCCAGCTATCCCTGCTATAGATTTAAAGCGCAGTTTTTTGTCCAGTCCCCCCCATGGTCCATCGATGCATCGATGGGGGCTTAATGCCGGGTAATCGATGAGTGTTGCATTGGAAAGAAATGAACTAACGCATGGATAAAGATGCAAAGTAATTGGCTGAAAAAATTTTGCATCTGGGGTTCCATTTTGAGGGTATCTTACCTCCATGTAGTACATGTATATTTTATTATTTAAAATTAAATAACAAATAAATTTACAGAATCCAAGGCCTTAAGGGCTTGTCTGAAATTATTTAAATATTTTTTATTAATCACTAATCATCAGATTAATGTTTTTGGAAGAATTCGTAATAAATTTAAATCATCGAAAAAAAATTATGAATCTCACATAATTTTTACTCTTTTCGGGTATTGTGAAAATCTCTAAAAATCGAAAATATCCTTTCCTGTATTCGATAGAGGTACTCGTGATATGTATACTTTTACGCAACAGCCGAATAAATTAAATATTCCTTATATGTAACTATTAGGTACTTAATCACAAAATATTCCCTTTATGGAATCAACTTTTAGTCAAGAAACCTCCCGTATGTTCCCTAAATCACAATCCACATAGATTTGTATCTTTTATTTACCAAAAGTTGTCTTGAATTTCCACTGGTATCATCTTCACAGCTATATTGACAGATCACCACTCATAAGTGTCGTCTTTTAGCTAGGGTCAGTCACCTCCTCTCCTCTCCAATCCTCTTCTCTGTAGCTCTATCTCACTCTCGGAATCATGAGGGTCATCCATCAGATGAGGGCCGGTCTAGCACTACCCTGCCTCCCTGCCTGCCGAAATGTGTGGCACGATCTACGTACCTGTTGCAGGCAGCATAGAGCCCACCAATCAGCAAGCCGCTCTCCGGTGAATGCTGACTCATGCAGGGCTTGGGGAACAAGTTGCTCAGATACCATTGGTGGATGGCAGGGAGATGTGGAGAAACGAGAACGAAAGCCATTCATTCCCATAGCGGATATAAAGCTGAGAAACTTTTGCACTTAAATTTCATTCCATTTGGCGATTGTCCAATTTCCATGATGCCTTTCCATTAATTCATATAAATTTATGCAATTACTTTTGTTTATTTACTTGACCAGAGGGCCACCCTCCCATCCAGCAGATCGGAGCCGAGCCGAACAGCGCTCCAGCCCGCCCTCTGCACCACTCCGATGCGGTCTGTTGTGTGTCCTGTTCTGGTCATGCTCCATATCTCTCTTCACTCCGCCCACTGTTTGCATTGTGTGGCAAGTGCATTGTCCTTGCAAAATATTTGGGTCACTTTTGTTCGCCAGCTTCGGGGAGGGCAGAAAGCAGAAGGCAGAGGAGGGCTGGCTCAATTTTTTATTGACTTGACAGGACACTCCATGAGTCCCGGACTCCTTCTCGCTCCCTCTCTATCTCTCTCTCTCCCTTTCTGTTGCCTTTTCTCTGGCGTGGCGCTCAATTTGAAGTCGCATTGTTGGCGACACATGTTTGACGTGTACAAATTTAATTTAATTTATTAAAATCATTATGTGCACAAAAGCAAAGCAACCAACAGAAATTACACATGCAACGTCCGACCGGGACAACACGGCCCGGCCAGGGATCCCAGGATCCCTGGCAGAACATAGCATAGGCGGCCTACACCCCCCCAACCCCCCCACAGGACAGGACAGGACGAAGGAGTGTGCCATTGAATAAGTTTTAATGATGATTGCAGCGGCGTGCAGCAAACCAACAGCAAATAACAAAAGAGACGGAAAGGAAAAATTTGAATGGCCCCCCTCCTCTTTGGCAGGGGAGTCGCACTGTGGGTACCCTTTCTGTACTATTCTACGATGTTAAGTATTAGGCTGGTGCTTTCCTACATTTTTCTTTAGTATTTTAGTATACTTATTTCAGTATATCCAG